TCCAACCCGTCGAGTCCCTTCCCCCTCCCCCTCCCCGTCCCCCTCCCTCCCTCCCTCCCTCCCTCCCCCCTCCCTCCCTCCCTCCCCCTCGTGCTCTCACCCCTTGATCTTGTCGAGGGCATCGAGGGCAAGGGGCAGCTTTTCCTTGAGGCTTTCGGCGCTCTGATCTTGCCGCATCTGCGTCATCCAGTACTCGAACTCGTCCTCCAGCTTGATCTCCGAGCTCGCGTTCTCCTCCTTCAGCCTCTCCATCTCCGACGTGTGCCCGACCCTCATCTGCTTCACCTGCGCAGCGGCTGTGAGACATTCGACTGTCTCCTCCTCCCTCCTCCTCTCCACCTCCCGATTTCGTCCCTCTCCTCCCCTCCTCAATCTCTTCCCTGTCCTGAACCACCTCCCTTTCACTTTCCTCTTCCTCCCCCCCACCAATCCACTAGCACTTCCTCTCCTCTACCCCCCCTGCCCCCCCCTCCTCACCTTCTCATCCTGATCTTCGCAAATCTTTGCAATTACGCTGATCAACCTCCCCAGCTCGAGCCCTGGGGTCTTCACGTACTCCAGCTGTAGCACAAGAGTCTCCGAACATTGGCGCACGGCCTCCAATCCCAGCTGCCGCAAACATGTCAGCAGCTGCACGTCATCTCCTCACTCTCCTCCCCTCCCGCCAAGCACTCCACCACACTCTCGTCTTGAGGAACCGGAGCTCGCAACCAGCGTCGTTCCTCCTCCCATATCTCCCCGGTGAAAGCAGCCCCTTTACCTCCTTCCTCTTGGTGATCAACGCCTCGAACTCCGCCGAGGTCTCCTGCAGCTCCTGCTCCGAGGGCATCTCAGCGTCCGTCATCTCGGCATATCCCTTCAGCTCCTTCTTCATGCTCTCGATAACTTTCCTGCTCTCCTCGAAGTGCTCGATCTCGAACTTCCTGATCGCCCCGCAGCGCTGCTTGATCTCCAGCTCCTGCTCCGCGTCCAGCGACTGCAGCTGCTCGGTCCAGGTCTTGGCCTTGTCGACGGTGAGGGAGGGAGGGACAAGGCTTTGCAAGTCCATCCACATGTTCAGCCGCCTCTCGAACAAGATCGTCTGCTGGGACCTGAGGGCCCCGTACAGCGTGTCGCGCTTCTTGGGCTGCGAGTAGTTCTTGCTCTCCAGCGTCGCCTTGCACTTGGCCACCGCCCGGTCATGGAGAGTATCGTACCATGCTACCTTGCGCAGCTCCCACCTGCTCCTCGCCTTCTTGTCCCTCTCGATCTCGTGCACCCTCAGCCGCTGGATGATATCAGCATACGCCCTCCTGTTGTTCAAGATGACATGGTTCTGCTTGTACGCTTCATCCTCCAGGTAGCGCTCTATAGGCCCCCGCAGCTCATGCGCGATGTCAAGCAGGATTATGCCCAGGGACTTGAGCTCGTTCTGCACCAGGGCTCCCCTCTGAATTTCCAACTGCTCCGTCTGCTCCTCGAACTCAGCGATCCAGGTCTCCCGCAGAGAGCTGTGCTCCTGGTACTCCACCCAGATCCCCTGGATCTTCGCCATGTCGATACTGGTCAGGAACTCATCGTTGAGCTGCATGAAGAGCTCCTCGATCGCTCCTTCGTCCTCCTTCAGCTTGTACTTCACACGGTTCATGTACTCGACCACGTAGGGCTCTAGGAACTCGTTGATCAGCTTGATGTTCTTCGATGTGTTCATCTTCGCTGTTTCATGCCTCTCCTGCTTGCTCACCAGCATGTCTCCTATCCTTTCATCCTTCCTCTGATCCTGCATGAACGGCCCGCTCGTCTTGGTGAACTCCCTCACTGTCAGCCCGGCATACTCGTACAGCCGAGGAGGCGAGGCGCCAAGGTTGCTCCCGATGGAGTTCCAACCATGTTGGTCGGTGAATCCGACGCCATAGTTGTACCCGCTGCCAATATGCCATGCTGTCTTCGTGAGGTACCTCACCTCTGACTCCGCCTGCTCCTTCTCCTTCCGCTCCCTCCAACCCATGTCCGCGACCTCCGTCCTGTGCTTCGCCTTGTCGAGCGCCTCCCTGTTCCCAAGGTTGTCCTTGGCATAGGAGACGGGCTTCGCCATGAGCGCCTGATTCAGCGAGCTCGTCGCATGGAAGTCCAGGCTTCGCCCCTCCGCCATGGTCAACGGCTCCAGTCACAGGGAAAGGCTGCCAGGGTAGGGGAACGTTGGGGGCAGCCGGGCTAAAAAGGGCTGCGAATATATCATGGCGGGGCAGAGCGAGGGCAGAGCGGAGCAGGTGGAAGGAGGGGTGGAGTGAGGAGAGGAGGAGGGAGAGAGGAGAGGAGGGAGAGAGGTAGCATCAAGGGGGGGGAGTAGAAGACAAGAAGTTAGAGGCTACGTGGGAAACAGAGGTTGGTCAAGAACAAGCAAGGCAGGGGCAGGCTGCCTGGCAAGGTGGAGAGGAGGGCGTGGTTCAGAACAAGTCGCAGAGAGCAGGAGCGGAGGGTTCGAGCGGGGGCGGAGGAGGCGGGTGAAGTGTGAGAGATGTCCGACCGAGGGAACGAGAAGGAGAGGAGGAGGAGCCGTCTCAATGACGTGGAGAGGATGGAGATCATTGAGAAGTTGCAGGGCTCCTCTGGGAAGAGCCAGAGGGCCATCGCGCGGGAGTATGGCGTGTCGCACGTGTCCATCATCAAGACGCTGAAGCAGCAGGACGCCATCCGGAACCGCGTTCAGAACCTGCCCGATTCCACCAGAGCCAAGACCTTCCGGGCATCGAACCCTTCCTTCCCTGCCATGGAGGACAAGCTCTTCGACTGGATACAGGAGTGCCAGAGAAAGGGCATCGAGGTGTCCGCTGCGCAGGTGAAGGCTAAGGCCGTGGAGATCGCAGCACAGCAAGGCGCCGCGGGGACGTTCAGGGCGTCTTGGAAGTGGTTGTCGAACTTCAGGAGAAGGAGGAACCTACAGAACATTCTTTCGCGCGATGCCGTGAGGGAGCCGGAGAGGAAGGACGTGCAGGAGGGAGAAGACCTCCAGAGGCTCTACAAGGTAGTCTCTGGGTACTCCCCCGAAGACGTGTACATCATGGACGAGACGGGACTCTTCTTTCGCCTCCTCCCAAGGTACTTCCGCGCCATGCAGGAGGACGACGGCGGTAGCGCTGGGGAGGCCAAGGACCGAGTGACGCTAATCGCATGCTCCAACTCCACGGGCTCTCACAAGATCCCGTGCGCCATGGTGGGAAGGGCCGTCGAGCCAGCCTGCATCCAACACAGGCAGTGGCCCATCCCGTATTTGGCACAACGAAGAGCGTGGGTGGATCAGGAAGTGTGCTCGAAGTGGTATGAGGAAGTTTTCATGCCGGCAGTGAGGCAGCGGACGAACCATTCAGTCCTGCTCCTCATCTTCAACTCACAAGGACGATTCTCGAAGCCCGTCGAGCGAGACCGGGTCCGGGTCCTCGTCTTTCCTCCGAGTGGGATAGGTCAGAGGGAGTACTTCCATCAGGGCGTCATCTCCGCCCTGAAGAAGAAGTACAAGTACCTCTACCTCAAGGAGGTCCTGAGCTTCCATTCCATGGACCAGAACCAAGTCCAGAAGCTCAAGGCGGCTGCCAAGACTTTGCGGCGAGGGGTGGCGGGTGTGAAGTTCGGGCACCCAGCACACTTGCTGGACGCAGCACAGTTCGTGAAGGCGGCATGGGACGCTATCAGCCCGCAGGTGATCCTGGACTGCTTGAAGAAGGCAGAGATTGGCATCAGGTTCCCCAACCAGGAGAAAGCGAGACTGCAGCCGGCAGTCAGCGGCCCGAGTGCGGAAGAGGAGGACATCATGGCGGCGATCCACGAGAGCGGGATCCATGACATTGACTCGGAGGATGTGCGCGAGTTCGAGCACGCAGACGACGACGACTCTCAGCAGTACATGGAGGCTCTTCTCAGGGAGATGGATGCAGAGGTCAATGGTGCAGAGCATCTTGTAGCTGACGATAGTGCTGCCGCGGAGCACGAGGCAGAGCAGGCGGCTGAGAGGACGTTTGCAGGCTGGAAGCACGTCTCCTCTGCCTTGCAAAGCATCCAGAGCGAGTTGTACCACCCTGACGCCGCGCGATCAGCTGGAGGGCAGTACGAGCTGGTGATGGGGACCTTTGAGAGGCTGAACCTTCTCCTCCGAGGACTGGAGATGGAAGAGAGGCGATCGAACGAGGGCGGCACCCCTTGCCCGCAGGTCTGACGCTCCCCGCAACGAGGCCATCTCGTCTCCGTCTCTACTGGTTCATTCAATCGGGTGTGATGCAGTGAAATAGGAAGGCTTCACCGCCCTCATCGGGCCCGACCTGATGGCGGCGTTCTGCCTCGATGCCCCACGGCCCGGCGGTCGACTCGCACTGACTCGGTCACTCTCTCACGGGCCCGCTACAGGATGGGGCTCGAAGAAGTCACTTGTTGGGGGGATGACGCTGTGGAAGATTGGGGAGTCGCCTTACCTTACAGCCAGCTCAACCTTGCCACGCATCCGATAGGCTTGGGGAGGCGGCCCTGTCCCTCAGTGCCTTGAACCAAGAACCCGTGAACAGGCAAGTCTAGTCAACCTTGGACTTGGGGGAGGCAGAGCAAGGATCCCGTCTTGGTGCACATGCTTGCGTGACCGTCTTGTGTCTCGTTTTCGCGCATCATGTCGGCGAGTAAGGCTTCGACAGTCGGAACGTGGGTGTGAGGATTTGGGTTTGTTGGGTACGATTGTTTGCGTTGAAAGCAGCAGTGCTGTAAAAGTCGGTATCGATGTTGCCGCTGAGTGCTCTGACGTTGTTTTGATTTCCTTTCCTGCGACTGGCATGCATGATAAAAGATTCTTCATCTAGACCTTCAACTCCGTACTCCATGCAAATGTGCGCGATCTTGTTCATGGCAACAGACAGCGAGTTGCTGAGTCACTGCCTTCGTCTCTCCTCCCCAGCATAGCAGCAGAGCATCTCACATCGCCGTCCCTGTATCAGTGGGCTGATGAGGTTGCCCAGCGCAGGAAGCACTGCTTCGAACGAGTCGCGAGGTCATGCATGTAAAGTTCCAACGAGCCCGTCTGTTTGAATGTCCCATGGGCGGGGTCGAGGGGCACAGCGAAAGACCTTGCCCAGGAATCCTTCTCAACACTCTCGAGGCGAGGCCCCCGACCCTTTCTGGAAATGTAAGTTGCGAACCGTAGTAGGTTAACAACCTCTCCTACTGAGGTTGCAAAACACGGTCGAGTAAGTGAGCACACCGTGTGACTGCAAGCAGCATGACTGAAGAATCGAAAAGTGCAGAAAAGCATCCAGAACAGGGGCAAAACAAGACTGACAGACTTAGCAGTCAAGTAGTTCCACCCCCGGGCACCGGCCCCGGGCCGGGCCCGGTCACCGTACTGTCGCCCGAGTCAGTGTCCGATCTCAGTGCTGCAAGAGTCTGTCAAATGGAAGGATATGAGCGGGGAGGAGGGTCCGCGCGGTGAGAAGTGTTCATGGTAGAGGATGAAGGGCAGGAGACTGAACATAATGAAGTGGAAAGAGATAGAGGAAGCCTGGCGTCATGGGCGAGCAGGGGAGACGAGGAGAGGATGAAATGCCTTGTCGAACTGGGATGAGATGTACATTGTAGACGTATACTTGGTGTCCTGCCGTACGAGCTTTCATGTCAGAAACCTAGTTGCTCCCCACTTTTCATGATGGGTTAGGATCACAGCGCTCGAGAGCAATTACCGCGTCCTCTTGTCCAGGATGCACTCGTGCCGGATGAGCGATTGAGTTGTCGTGCAGGCATTCCACATCCCTCTCAGGATATGTCTGCGACCGAAGCAGTCGCTCGCCTCAAGGAAAGCCTCGACGCTATTCTGAAAAAGGCGTTGAGCCGATCGCAGGACAGTGAGGAACCCGACCCTGTGAGTATCGTCGACGTTGGGAGATGGCTTCTGATTCCTTCCTCCAGACCCCACAGCAGACTCACGACGAGCTCGCGTCTGCTGCGATGTCTGCAGCAAAGGACCTGGAAATGATCTTCGAGAGAGCGAAACTGCGATCAGGAGTGCAGACGGAAGAGGAAGTGCAGCAGGAGGTTTGTCCACTGCTGCTGCTGCTGCTGCTGCTGCTGCTGCTGCTGCTGCTGCTCCCGCTGCTGCTGCTGCTGCTGCTGCTGCTGCTGCTGCTGCTGCTGCTGCTGCTGCTGCTGCTGCTGCTGCTGCTGCTGCTGCTGCTGCTGCTGCTGCTGCTGCTGCTGCTGCTGCTGCTGCTGCTGCTGCTGCTGCTGCTGCTGCTGCTGCTGCTGCTGCTGCTGCTGCTGCTGCTGCTCCTCCTCCTCCTGCTGCTGCTGCTGCTCCTCCTGCTCCTCCTGCTCCTGCTCCTGCTATCTTGATTGATTATGTTCGCCCTTCTCGACAGGTTCAGGAACTCGAGGGCATCATCGCGGAGAAGGACGCGCTACTGAAGAAAAGCTTCGAACTGATAAGTTCGTGGGAGGCGAAGTTTGCAGCTTACAAGAAGACGCACGATCCTCTCCTGTTCAAATCTTAACCGGCGGTGGGTTTCGAATTGTGAATAGGGGTAGAACAGGGATTACATAATCCGCTCTTTAGCACTAATTGCGACGTGTCTCGTCGGCAAGCAAGGATGTTGATTACTTTGATATGAATTAAGGAAATAAACAAGAACCATGGTTCGATTTGATTACTTTGATATGAATTAAGGAAATAAACAAGAACCATGGTTCGATTGAGGCCGATTCCTCTCTTCGATTCCTCTCAGTTGTCTTCCTTGGGGCGGGTCCTCTGCGGCAGTGACTTGTCATGACTTGCATGTGATGAGTTTTCCAACAGCAAGGAATGAACCAACCTTGCAACTTCCTAGCATCTCACTGAAGTTTCCGAGATATTTCAAACGTTTTTGAGATTTTATTCTAGTCTAGCAAGAGTTTTATGAATACAAGAGAGTCGGGTTGAGATCACCTATCGGAATTCAACAGCAAGGATTCGAAACAAAAGTTGATCTCTGCTTTCGAGGTTCAGTTTCACAGAGGCATTTCGATTCTGTTCTGCACACTGTCAAGGTCTATCAAGATTGCAAGGCTCTCTTCAAAGAGCCCCAGCCTGCTGCTTTGCATGCTGCCCTTGCAGGCAACGGCTCGATAATAGTAGTGCATGTAAGCTAGCATCTTCGTCCTGTCGAAGAAAGCAGAGCAGCGGTCGATGCTCTCCTGAGCCTCTTCCTGCGCAAGAAACTTCCTCATGAGGTTCAGAAGGGTCCAGCAAGCTGCCGGTCGCTGCGCCATGCACAGAGCTCCTTTCAGCAGCGTCTTGACGTCTACCGAGAAGTGCGCCGTGCATTCTCCGATCGCCCTCCATAAGATGGAGCAAAGGGCATAGCGCTTGAGCTCGATCACGAGGATACCACTCCTCTTCGTTATCATGCGCTCCAACCTCTCACGGAAGCTCTCTGGAAACGCTGCATCGTCGCAGTCAGGATATTCGTAGCTCAGTTCCAAGTCCCTCCCCAGGTTCTGAACATATTCAGCTCCGACAAGGCAGAAGTCCAACGTGTCCTCACACACGCAGAGGTAGACGCTAGACAAGCTCAGATAGGCAACTCCTTGGTCATGCAGCGTGACGACGTTGTCGGCCAGCCTCGCAAGACTGTTTGCAAGCTTAAGAGACCCCTCGGGGTAAAGGCGAGGAACTAGGCTACTGGAGATAGGAAGCACGCTTGTCCTCGCCCACAAGTACTCGATCCACCCGCCTTGATGCCTAACTCTACCTCTGCCTTGCCAGCAAGGAAAGATCTTCATGTCGCACTCCTTGAACATGAGTCGCTCGTTGGCCAACATCATATCGTAGGTGGGAGGAGAAGGCTCCCGCAGGAACACTTTGACGATGCGGTCAGGGAAATGAGCCACGAGAAAGTCTTGAACTTGCTGGAAGTTGAGGAGGCGGTGATCGCAGATTGACTCTTGCTTCACGATCAGCCAGATCAAATCCATGTACAGCTGCATGGCAGAAGACGGAGAAGGAGACTGACTGAAGAAGCTAAGAAAGCAGGGTCCAGGGAACCGCAAAGGAGTTGTGATGAGCAATGACTTCCTGGATGTAGAAGGTTCAGATTGTGAGGAGGAGGAGGAGGAGTTTGGGAAGGAGAGACGGAGGGAGGGGCGGGAGGCCGGGGGCGTGGGAGGGGGGAGGGGGAGAGCGCAGCAGCGAATGATTCTACACCCCTTGCACTAAATGCTCTCTTTGTGGGAAAAATGACTACCCCACCCCTGCGATGCCTT